GCCACAGTTCCAATCTTTGACCCCCCCCAAGAGTCAATGTACAACTTTAAAAATACTTATATTGTAAACATTTATCTCTTCTCTATAAAAATACTTCAATCATCATCAAAAGCTGTGTCTGGCTCAATGTCCATGATATATGGATAATCCCATCAGATCTAGATGGGGCTCCTAATGATCTGACAATATATACAATCAGTATAGTTGCTAGCTGTTCCCCACTATCACCACCCCATATGGATATACAATAGTAGAGCAAGATAACAGTAATTAAATATTGGTTTTTGGAGAAGTGAAGAATGGGAGGCCCACAGGCATCATTGGTCCATAGCATGTACTATGGCACATGAATCAGGAGTCCCCTAAAGCTGTGTCATAAATGTGTTTATTATCTCCTACTCTGCTTTGTTTGTTCACTACTCTCTAGAGCCACCACTGAAGATGAAGTTGGAATGGAATTTTTCTAGTCCTTTCTATGTCAGTACTGTGCCCAAATTTGTTTTCTAAGAACTTTCTTTAAATCTGAATTTTGTTGCCACCAAAATTTTGTTGTTCACATCTCCCTCTCTATTGTAATAGTTGTTCCCTTGACATAATCTTAAACAACATGTTTTGGGTGGGAAGGCAACACAGCACTTAATCTGATCCTGGCTACAGGTCTGGCTTTGTTGTGGCTGAGAAATCTTAAAGGGAGGCCTCTGATAAAGGCTCAGAAAAAAGTGTCATCTCCTGTTATTTAGGATCTGGTTCACTGTTTTTAGTTTTGCTAGTGTCCAGATTTCTGGACTCCTGATTAGATTTCTGGATGCAAGTAAACAATGTCTATTTCCTTTTCCTCTCTGCTTACAAGGTTATTAATTCTTACTAGATCATCTCTAGATAGCACTAGAACCATCAAGCTGCTGTCAACATAAATTGGTAATTCTTGTGCTTTCCAGCTACCTCATCTATTGACATTTGGTTTCTACATACAAAGGAAAAACTGTACAGTAGGGGGAAATAGCACTTTCTGTCATGAAGATATTTCTGCTTTATGCATTCATATAATATCTAAATTTTATATTACGTTTTCTTTGTTGTTGTTGTTGTTATTATTATTATTATTATTATTATTATTATTATTGTTATTTTGGTACCAGAGATTGAACTCAGGGGGGCACTCGACCACTGAGTCACATCCACAGGCCTAGTTTGTATTTTATTTAGAGACAGGGTCTCACTGAGTTGCTTTTTCTGAGACTGGTTTTGAATTTGCGATCCTCCTTCCTCAGCGTCTCTGTCCACTGGGATTACAAGCGTGCGCTGCCTTGCTGTCTTCCATTTTTAATTGGAAAAATATTTGATAAAAATTGAGGTCCATAACTTGAAATGTCTTAGAAAAGGAAATATAAGTAACTTATATATCTGAAAAAGTGCTAGCTCACTGTCACTTTCTCCAACACTGCTTGGTCATATATTTGATGATATTGATGTCCATGAAAATGATTCTTTAAAGCTCTAGATTCATGTTTCTCTAAATTCCCTCCTTTCAGTGTTATTGCCCACTGTATCTATTGCCCATTGAACTGTTATTGCCCATTGAACTGTTCAGAAGCTATTTAATCTTTTATTTTTTTCCAATTAGTACAAATATCCCATCTAAATGCAGAAATATACATATATTTTTAAGACCAAGTTGCTCCTTAGATACTTGTATTGTGTTTGATCAGCGAGACATATAGCTTTCCTAACATTTGGAAAAAAAAATTGTTGTGCAGTCTGATGTTTTCAGGAATTATTGACAAGGATTAGAAACCCATGGGAACTAGTGAGAGTGGAAAGGGGAGTGGGTAAATAGAGAGAAATATGACTTTAATGAATTAATAAACTCTGTCATATGGCGATGGGAAATGAGGGGTAATGTAGCCTGAAAGGATATTTTCCTTTTTTTTTTTTTAATTCAGTATACAGGTTACTGGTTAGTATTAAAAACATGTTCCACAGGGAAGGGTATATTTAGACCTAAAAGGAGAGCTTTAAAGATATAATCAATTCTATTTTGCAGATTAAGTGTGGGCTCTGTATAATATATGCTAATGAAGATTATTATCCAATTCAATATTCTATCGCAGTTCTCCCTTCATGTTTGCCATCCGTGGAGCTTAAATAGATTTTTTTAAGTGAATGAATACTGATTTTACTGTTTGTCTAACAAGGAATTTTGCAATAATTATATATTAACTCAAACCTAGGACAGTGCTTTTCATTCTATCTGATCCAATGTTCCCTTTTTACAGTAAATATTTTGTAACATTTCCTTTACAGTTTTGCAATGAAACTCAGTAAATATAACTATCTGAACACACAAATTTAAAACAATGTAACATTCTGTTTATAACATGAGGGAGAATCAGAGGGAATTGATTAATAACAGAGAAGCATGTTTTTCAATATGTAAATGTTCAAGTATAAGTACCCAAGAGAACACAGTGAAAAGACAGAATTTTGTACCATTAAAATGTATCAAGGACCAATGCTGACACTGGTAATATATAGTAATCAAATATGTTAAATTTATTATTGACATACATACAATGCTAAACAGCATAAAAATTCCTTTATTTACATCATGTTTATGTTCCTAGATAATTCAGTATGTTACTCTAAATCAGTACAAACCATATATTTGTTTGTGGACAAAATTGCTGCCATTAATGATAATGTATGTACTTTTATTTTTAACAGTGGATGCATATCATAAAAATTTTACACAACTATAGAGAAAAGATGTAGGCAAATACAAAAATGGCTACCTGATAGTTATTAGGTTTTTTTCCTTCCTTCCAGTTTCTACTGATTATATGAATAAAATATAGAGTTTTTGAAAACTATCTACAACACATCATGATTTTCCCACAGCAATCCCTTTCCCCACTCAGATGCACACATTCATTGAAGTAAAGTGAAAGGAAAGGACCGAATATATTTCTTTGTAACTATGGAAGGAAGAAATTAAGGTAGAATATTTTCAAAGTATCCCACAAACACCATATTTTTTCATCTTCTTTTGCTGGAAAAGATACAGTTTGTGCATTATTGTATGGGAAAGTTAATAATTTTCTGTGGCATTGCGTGTATGGTACTCATACCTTCCAAATGTTCTGTTACAGTTTGATTTTTAAAAATTCTGTTTTGTAGTGAGGCATGGTAGTGCAGGGCTATAATCCTAACAACACAGTAGGCCAGTTCAAAGCCATTAGCAGCAACTTAGTGAGGCCCTAAGCAACTTAAGACCTTGTCTCAAAGGAAAAAATGAAAAGGGCTGGGAATGTGGCTTAGTGATTAAGCAGCCCTGGGTACAATACTTGGTACCAAAAACAAAACAATATAAAAACAAAAACAAAAACAAAAAAACCAAATTTGTGTCATAACAAATGTACATATTTTTCTCAGTTTGTATATTATATATTCCCATTTTGGTTTGAAATCTATGGGTCCCCTATGGATTGCTATCGTATGGATCCACTCTAATAACATTCTGCATTTTGCAGTATTATGACTTTTTTTTAACATATTGGCTATACTTACTCAAAAATTATTTTTAGAAATATTGAAATGATAGTTTAAATGCACTATTCTTTTGCAACTATTGGGTATCCTTCTCCACAACTCAAAATTGTATTTTGAATCTTCTAGCCTTTCCTGTATTAAGTACTTATATAGTATTAAAAATTTTCCTTGAAGATCATTATAAAGATAAGGATAGAAAGAGTGAGAGATGTTGAGATTATTACGAGATCCTTGATAGTATAGAGTGTAAATCCTGAGATATAATTATAGTATATAATTTCTTCCATGAAATATAATAGACAAAAATATTTAAAGTAAATCAGTTAAAGTTTTATAAAAATATGAACTGGCCTATTTCAAATGCTAAATTATAAAAAAAGTAAAACTAAGTATACTATTTACATAGTCATTGCATTTGCTAAACTATTTTCCATTAACTTGTTTTGTTTCTACCTGAATTGTGTGGTTCTTGTGTTCATTTTATAGATCTGGCCAACAACTTCAGTATTCTATTCCTTAATAGCTAAAACTATTATCTGCTGCTTAAGGATATGCCTTTTCTTAGAATCTCAACAGTGACTCTTTTTTAAAATACAAGGTATAATTGCTCACTTGGGAGGGGAGGATTTCTTTTTTGGTTTTGTTTTTCAAAATAAGAAATACTGTGGAAAATCAAATATCTGGCATATTGAAGCCTCATTACATTATAATAAAATACACTTGGGCTGAGTGGCCTCATCCCCTATAGATTTAGCCTGCCCCCTCCCATGTGCCACCATCTCCAGCATTATCCGTTGTTGTATGTCACATTGCATTTTAGCTACCAGTTATTATCTTTCCTGGCTTGAACTTATCATCTTTTGAGGTCTTAAGATTAAAGCATACCTTCAATTTAATTTAGCATTAATTTTTATTGATTGATACTGCAGTTGCTTATATAGTATAAAATCTATTATTTCTGTGCTAGGCAAATTATCTATCACATCTTTTAAAAACTACTAAAACCAATGCTGTGTGGTTATGAATTTGGTAAATCAATATGTTTTTAAATCAATACTGTTGTATTGTGTGCTATAAAGTCAATAGAACTAACTAGACTTTACAAATTATGTGATACATTTACCAGACTGTACCTCAAACAGCTTCAACTCACCTCCTTGGTATATATAAGGCTTAAGAAGATTAAGCCCTGTACAAAAGTTGCCAGTTTTAATTAAGAATTATGGTTAGACTCTCAAGGCCTCCTCCCTCCCACTTACATAACCCACTCTCTACAACTCTCTCTTAGGAAACATTTCTGGGGAAACAAAATTGCACATGTAAAAGCATCTCTGAAACAATTATGTTCATATTGAGACTTTTTGGCATTTTATTTATTGTTTTATTTTTCATTTTAAAATATTACTCTCCCAAGGTAAATTATTCTAATTTACCTATTTTATTTCAAACAGATCATGTTGTTTGTGAAGAAGAATTTAAATACGCCATGTTAGCTTTAAACTGTATTTGCCCAGCAACATCTACACTTATTACACTACTGGTTCATACCTCTAGAGGGCAGTAAGTATATTTTTTTCTTTAAGATAACGTATTTAAAATAATATAAGTGCAGTTGTGTGTTTTACAACTTTAAAAATCCAACATATATAGTGAGATATGTACCTATATTTGTGTTTGTGGGAATTATTTTCACCTAATAGAAATATGTTCAGGGATTCAAAATTCACAGAAAGTTGAAAGTCATTAGATTTTTTTTTTTTTTTTAGTACTCTTTAGATAACTTGTTGCATCTTAAATTCTAAGTCTCTAAATGATTTGCTAGGTCTAGAGTAAGGGCATGGCTCTATTTCAGGAGTAAGAGTTATACAAGTAAAATTTTTAAAAAGGGATTGTAACAATCACTAATATAAGAACAAAGTCAATTTTTTCTCCCTCGATGTTTTTATGTTAAAGTTTTAATTATTATTTTTTATAGTTTTATAAAATTATTATTTTTTACAGCTTTATAAAATTACTTAATGTAAAATAAGTTGTTTTTTTATGCAATTTCTAAGTAGCCCATAGAAATTTAGATCATCTGAACTTTAAAATTTTTACTTATTTACTTTGCCATTTTTATAAAATACTGTTTGACTTGGATGACCAAGGAATCACAGTCACTGTTCTTATTTTAAGAGACAAATGTTACATTACATTTCACACATTTTCATATTCCTAACAGTATTTTACACAAAATACTGATTTTTTTCTTATAAATTCTAATTTGTATTTATGGTCATTACTCATTAAATTTGGTAAGTTAATTGATAATTATTTAAATGATGTGCCAAGACAAGTAAATCTAGAACAAGGAAAACTCTTTCTTGATATTAAACAGTAGATGGAGCAAGTTACTAATATGAAAATAATAAATACCCAGACCTTTTTTTAAAATGGATTTTTCTATCTTTCCTCTAATTGTATTTCTGTTCTGTTGGGAAGGAATGATTTTCCCAGGAGCAGTTTCTCAAATTCTGAATAGGAACATTTTCATTCTCTATATTTGCAAGACTTTCATCTGTGCAACGAAAGCTTGTGACAGGATTGTGGATGACATTGCTGCTTCTCTGCAAAAAGTTCACAGCATCTTGATGCAATTTTAAATAAATTCCTAAAAAGCATTTTGACACCAATTAATTGAACAATAGTAGCCCTATCACATGTATTTCTTATTTTTCCCATACCATCTTTATTACAGAAAAATATAACACTGAATATCTAGTTCAACTTCAATGTCATACATTTATATAAGACAAGGCGCACTGATAATATTTCATACACTCATTACTCATAGACTAAAGTTAAATTACACTTTGCAACTACTAATAAATGATATTTATTGACACAATTTTGGCTGTGAAAAAGATTGTAGTTGACATAAGTTGAAATAGAATTTTGGATCCTTAGAATAAAATTTACCCCAATATACTCAAATGAAATTTGCCTTATTAAAAAAGTGATGTCAAAGATGTTGTTATCACATAATTAAGAACTTCTTTTAGATAAGATTAACCTGAAAATATATTTCAAATCTGTGCCACAGTAAATACTATGACACACTATACTTTCTTTTTAGCATCTTTATTTAAATTTATTTCCATACTATAATTCCCACAATAAATATGCATCTCAATATTTTTAGTCTATTCATGGAATTTTTCAAGCATCATCATTATTTGTGGGATTTCCAGAATCCCACAAATAAACCTAACCTTTAGCCATTCCCCTTCATCCCCCCAATCCTTTCAATCCTAGGCAATTCCTAATCCTCTGTTTCTTATAAATTTGCCTTTTCTGAACACTGCACATAGATGAAATCATATAATATGTGTTAATTATATTTTGTTTAGTTGGGCTTCTTTCACTTGGCATATTTTAAAAGTTCGTCTGTATTATACATCCATAGTTCATTACATTTTATAATTTATTATTATTATACTGCAAAGATTTGAGTTTTTATTCATCGGTTGAAGAATATCAGTTGAGTTGCTGTTAAAATTTATGAAACTTTTTTTGTTTGGACATATGCTTTCATTTCTCTTAGGTATGTATGCCTAAGAGTGGAATTACTGTCTGTGGTCATTCTCTTTATACTCTTTTAGGAACTGGTAGAATGCTTTCTAAATATGCAATTTATTAGGGTTCCAATATTCTTGCCAAAATTTATCATGGTTCCAATTTCCTCATCATCCTCAGCAGTACTTACTACCTTCTTTTTGATCATGAGCATCCTAGTGGGTGTGAAATTGTATCTTGCTGCGGTCCTCATTTGCATTGTCTGTTGGCTAATAGTAATGAACATTGATTTATGTTTATTGGCCACATAATCAAGATATAATGATATACCTTCATACCCTTTGCCCATTTTCATTTTCTAAAATTTTTTGGTTATAGAGTAGTAAGAATTCCTCATACATTCTAGATACAACTACCTTCTCAGATCTATACCATCACTTGAATATGAGTAATCATCAAAACAGATCATTTAACATTTCTGTTTTATTAAGAATATTGTTTGGAGTTATTTTACCAACCCTTTTGTTATCTGTTAATTGAGTATACAAGATTCTCTTATTAATAGAACACGTTTACAATTTAGCCTTTCAGCATCTGTAGAAATTAAAAGCTCAAATATATTGATTTAATAATCAGAGAACTAACATGGAAGCTAAGTGAAGTAGTACAATGGGAAAAATGTTGAATGGTCTAGGAATAGCCATAGGCAAGTTTTGAAACCACTAATTGAAAACAAATCTATACAAAAATATTCAAATTTTTCTATTTAAAAAATTTAGAATGATTTTACCACTTTACTCTCTAACAAATTGTGTTTTGTATCAATAATAATTGATATTCACAAGCAATTGGAGTTGCTTGGTTGATACAAAAGGAAAAAAAGACAATTTATGACTTTAAATTCAACAAGTACAGAAATAAATATAATCTAAAACCCAAAGTGTTCTCATTTTAAAATACACTTTTAAAGTAAATTTCTGTGTAGGGTATAGGTATTTAAAGAAAATAAACATGATTTATGAAACAAAATAGACAAACACATCAGGTCTGGGAGATTAAATGATCAGCCCTTCTAATGGCAGACCTGCCTTAGGTCATTGTAATTAATAATGGAGGTACTGATTCTGCTCCAGAATCAGACAGTTTTACATTCTCAATTATTTTCATCCTTTCTTATTTCTTCATGTCTTTTAGCAGGTGGAAATGGGAATTCCTATAAAACATACATATTAATGATGAATTGCCTGCTTCTGTGCTAAAAATTTCTATCTTATATTTTGAAGTCTTTGAGCAACAGTACTCAGATATAGTGTCCAAACTTGACTAGTATTCTTAAGCTCTTACATTTTACTTTCCTACATGTTTACATGTTCATTCCAATTCCAGTTGATGTACAAGTAATAGAGTAGCTTTCATCTGACTTCAAATTACTGTTTTGTTTTTTTTTAATTCACTGAGTGTTAATTCTGTATTTTAAAGCTTCACATTTACCTCTTCCTTTCTTAGATTGGTTTGAGTGTTGATTGCTCTTGATGCTTATGTATCTTATTGTTAATTCAATTTACAATTTGATTTACTTGGTAATTATTTTTAAAAGGTAAGCATAAGTTTACTTTTTAGACACAATTACTATAGGCTGTGGGACATGGGACAACAAAATGGCAACTCTGAGTCAGGCTATTTTCCTACCATTTAGGAAGAAGGAAAAATGATAAAGGGGCAAACTAGGGCTAACTAAGGTTATTTAAAGCTTTCCGTAAAGTTCACTCAGGCCATTTATCTATCTAATGGTATCTCATTGGCCACAACCATGTCAGGTGTTAAGGTCCATTTAAACAATTCTCATACATCAGGTATTTTACAGTTTAATCTTCTTTAGTAGAAAAAGACAGGGGGAGAAGTGATTTATGAAACATTTTTGAGTAGTCAATACAATTTTTGTGATTCTTACAGAGAAATGATTATCATTAAAATTAAATATGTATGATAAAAAAGATGTTTTCCAATTCTGCATCAAAGAGCCTTATATTTTTGCATTAAAGAAACAGCAATATTTGAGTATTAAAATATGGACTTGATTTTAATTACATCTGTTAGCAATGTAAATAGTTTCAAATTTAAAAATGTATTTATGCACATAAAACATGCATACATTTATTTAAACTTGGATATTTTCTCTTCTTAAATCATGAGGCTATGTCTCATAGGAATGAAAAGGTAAATCTAGGGATCTTAAGAAGAGGTATATTGTTTTATACAAGTAACAGAGTAGCTGTTATCTGTTAATTGAATATACAAGATTCTGTATTAGCCTAAATTTAACAAGTCAAATACTATTATCATTTGCTAGTCAAATCTGGTGACACAAATTGGCACTATTAAAATTTTAAAAATTAATTATATTTGTATTATAGCTTTTCTATTATTATTACTTTTGATACTCCTTTACCTGAACTTTTAATGTTACCTTTCAAAACCAAAACCAGGTATATTATTATTATAAAATGTACCATTCAGGAACTTCTGACATTAAAGCAAAAATTAAAGTCAGACTCTTTGGAAACCACGTCCTAATCACAAATTAAATTCCTGTTTTTTAGTGTTCATGCTGCAAATGGAACTCATAAATTTAGGGAGGAAATGTGGCAAAGAGGAAAGAACAACAATTTTGGCAGACAGAAATGGTTGACTCACTAAATGCTAAACCCAACTAACATTGAGCAATTACATGTTCTGTTTGACTCTCAGTAACTTTTATGGAACATTAAGATAATAATTTTTAGCTACTCCATTACTTTTTGTGTTCATTTTGCCATTGCTCCTTGAATGCCTACTATGCAACAGCATCATGCCAGATGTTTTACATACAATAAGGAGTACACCAGAAAAAAAAATATATATTCCTCCTTTCAAGGAACTTTCATTAGAATTAATGAGACAGGTAATATACCAAAATAAATAAGTAAAACACATACAATGTTTCAGAAGGCCATAGTGCTATAGGG